CCAAACGGGAAACAAAGGAAGCCACGACCACGGACCCCCCCCCCACTATGGTTTCCTCTGAGCCGTGGGCCAGGCACCCACCGATCTTCATGCACGTTGACCTTCTCCGTCCGTGTTTCAACGCAGGTAGGATAGCGGAATTTTGTCGGCATCCCAGACACACAGGAGCACCCGAACGGCCCCGCCGAAAAGATGCGTGTGGTCAAGGTCCGACTACTCATGTCCTGCGGCATAACAACTGAGCCATGTTCGTTGGTCCCTGTGTCGGCCTCAAATTCTATCACCGAGCTAGGACCTTAGAAAACAATAAAAGTAGATAAATAAATAAATAATAGAACTGAGAATAAACGTCGTGCATCCCACTAGTCCGCGACGCCGCGCACACCAAGGCTGCGCTTGGTCGCGCCTTGCCATCCATACCCCGAGCGCGGCGCTCACCCCGGCGAGGGCCTAAACTTCCTCCCGTATGCACACCGTCGACCGGACGAGGCTGCACTAATGTGACTTGCAGAAAAAACGCCAAATGCCTTTGTAAGGGTATGTGGTACGACACCGCCCACCTCCCTCCGACCATTGGGATGGCCAATCTCCCCTCAACCTCCGTCCACCTCCCATCCGCCTCCTCCTGCCATGTCCTCTCTCTCTTTCCTCTCTGCCTTCGCCACTTCTCCTCCACCTCTGCTCACCTCTCCTCTAGGCTCTGTTCCTCTGCCTGCACATCCACCATCTCGTTGCCCGCCCTTTTTCTTTTTCTTTTTCTTTTTTAACAGTGTGCGCCCACCTCCCCCCGGTCTCCGACGACCTCCTCTCCACCTCCAACGACCTCCTGTTAGTCTCCGCCCACTTCCCTTCCACCATTGGGATCTCCCATCTCCCGTTGCCCTCCGCCCACCTTGCGTCCGACTCCTCCCGCCATCCGCTGCACATCCCGCTGTGCGCGCCAACCTCCCCTCGGCCTCCACGCACCTCCTGTCCTCCTCTGCCCGCCTCTTCTCTGCCCTCTACCTCTGCCCACATTTTCTCCGCGCGGCAAAGACGATTCCTGGAGGGAAA